CGGAATCATATGAAAGATTTGAAATGATTTTAAAGTAATTTTCCACAAAGCGCAACTATCTCATCAATGCAATGTTTATAAGAATAAATATGCAACTTTCTTGTAATTGAGCGAATAAAATATAAATTGAAATGTACTAGCGACTTAATCAAAGATATGAAATAATCTGAAAGATTCAACATATTTATCCACTCATCACTTAGTTAAAATGTTTTGGAATGGCCATTCTATGGTTTGTTTTGTGTATGACCTTAGGTCGCTGGTTCACACGCCGATTGATCCTCGGTGTCCTCTTTTGCCACGCGCTATCGAGGGAGGGGTTACATAATTGTAAACACACGAGGTGAATGTAAAAGGCGTGTACATAATGGCTGTGAATAGTCTCTGTTTAAAGTTTTGTTTTATTTTCTAACTTTATTGCTTGTTTTTATATGATAAGAAGAAAATGTTATCTTTTTTCCCTGTTTAGTAGACTGGTTTATCCAAATTTGAAAAGAAACGAAATAAAAGGGAAAGTTGTCAGTAAATAATTTGGAAATAAAGCACAAAATACTTCAAAAACCTGATTCTAAAGAATATTAGCATCTAATATAGCAAGGTTTATTATTTATAGTAAGTTTATTTTAATTACACGCATGAAGAGCTCTTGTTTACTTGCTGAATGAAAACAGTAACCTGTATATGTGTTATGCTTCTAGCTCATTTAGAACACAAGACTCAAACAAATATAACGTTTTCATGAGATCAATAAGATGTTAAAGAACAACTTTAATTCCGGCAGCTATTTCGAAATATTTACCGTTTTTGAGTTATAAAGCAAAAACTTTAAAGGGCCCCAGATCCCTAATTGTAGGGGCCAGACCCTTTTTATTGGTCTCAAATGAAAGGCCTTAAAATTGTGCACAACTTTTATTCTACATGTTTTATCAAAATATTTTTAGTTTAGAAGATAAAAAGGAAAATATGTGTAAATTTTCGCTCTTTTTGGCGTTCTAATTTTTGACCCCTCTCTAGCGCCATTTTGAATACAGAAATTGAAAAACAAAAACCGATGTGCACAACTTCAGTGCTTCTATTATTTAAATTCGGTAGAATTTCTACTCCAGCTTCAGTAGTCTCTGAGCCTTTGTATGGAAATGAAGCCTCCTAAATTTTCATTTAAAGGGAGATAACCCAAAAGCGGAAGTGGGTTTTTGAAATGTTTGAGAGCATTCTGATAGAGTTTTGTAACGCTTTTAAACCCTGCAAATTTGAGCAAAATCCGTTGAGAAATGAGCAAGATATGAGGTCTCAAAGTTGGCGTCTAGGAAAGAAAAAAAAGAATAATAAGAATAATCTTAACCATCAGAATCAGTAAAAGGTCTCCCGCTGGAGCGGAAGACCTTAATAATAATAGAAAACAGACGGAAAACAATAAGAAGAATCAGTAGAATCACTATAGGTCTTCTTCCATTGAGAACTGAAGACCTAATAATAAGAAACAGTAGAATCACTATAGGTCTTCCGTTGAAAACAAAAGACCTAATAGCTAGAAACTCATTGCGAGCAATGAGAGGTCTTCCGTCCGATTCTGAAAATAAAAACGAAAATTCAAGCTGAAAAAGTGATAAAAAAATTCAGACACTCTGGAAATTTAACCCTGGTCGTCAGCGTGAAAATTCAACGTGCTATCTCCTTAAACCGGACGTTGACGTTTTCAAGGTTACTCTAGACATTTGCACTCTGAATAACATATTTAAAATTCATTTCAAATACTTTATCTATAAAGAATATTTATTGGAAAGTAAAATACTCAAATTATTTTGTTTTTCTCTTATAACCGGAAGTTATCGTATTTGTTTCCGGTGGGACCAACATCTTTCGAATCTGCGAAAAAGATGCAATAAAGTAATGCAATTTTTAATTAAAAAAAGAAAAGTTGAAATTTTTGACACGTGCTTTTTGTTTACCTCTGTAAACATATGCTTTATTGGTTTTCACCACTTAGAGAGTTCTACACGGGAGATCACTCTCAATCACTAGTGAAAAAAACCCATGTATTAACCTTTTTTTCTCACGAAAACTTTGACTTGCCAATGTCTGTAAAATATATTGTGGGTCCTTCAAAAATGCAAGGATTTTTAAGGATTTATTTAAAACAAATCAAAATAGCGCAGGATTCACACAGAAAAAAAAGCATCATTTATAAAGATGAAAACGTAAATTAAAGATAAAAAATGAGGAAGAAAATTCAGACATAATCGGGATTAAACCAGAATTAATAGAACACCGTTGACGTTGGAGGTTAGTGTGCAAGGTACCAGCCACCCGAGGAGCTCCGAGTGCCGACCTGCTCGTCGGAGTTTACGGAGACAGCCGCCATTTTGGACCCGCTTCAAATTTTAAAATGCGAATATCTAGAGTTTGGATTTATAAATTTTTAAACAAATTATATATAAAACCCTTTTGGAAATGCCTCTATTAACCCTACTAGTATCAAAGAAAAATATTGAAAACAAAAAAGTTAGAAAATTCAACTTTTTAAATTCGCATCCGGTAACGACCGGAAGTACCGACGACGAACGAAAGATCATGTTCCGGCTAGGATTTATCACGATCTATAATCCCTGAAAGTTTCCACATTGATATATTTTACCGTTCTTGAGATTATCTGCGGACAAAATGTCTTTTTAAATTCAGAAAATGGTCCGTAACCTGGCACCGGAAGTGATTTACCAAAAAATCTCTCAGATAAAATAACTTCAGATTACAACAGGATTTATTTAAAACAAATGAAAATAGAGCAGGATTCACACAGAAAAAGAGCATCATTTATAAAGATGAAAACGTAAATTAAAGGTAAAAAATGAGAAAGAAACCAGAATTAATAGAACATCGTTGACGTTAGAGGTTAGTGTGCGAGGTACCAGCCACCCGAGGAGCTCCGAGTGCCGACCTGCTCGTCGGAGTTTACGGAGACAGCCGCCATTTTGGACCCGCTTCAAATTTTAAAATGCGAATATCTAGAGTTTGGATTTATAAATTTTTAAACAAATTATATATAAAACCCTTTTGGAAATGCCTCTATTAACCCTACTAATATCAAAGAAAAATATTGAAAACAAAAAAGTTAGAAAATTCAACTTTTTAAATTCGCATCTGGTAACGACCGGAAGTACCAACGACGAACGAAAGATCATGTTCCGGCTAGGATTTATCATGATCTATAATCCCTGAAAGTTTCCACATTGATATCTTTTACCGTTCTTGAGATTATCTGCGGACAAAATGTCTTTTTAAATTCAGAAAATGGTCCGAAGCTTGGCACCGGAAGTGATTTACCAAAAAAATCTCTCAGATAAAATAACTTCAGATTACAGCACATTGTTCCTGCAAATTTCATTAAATTCCATCATGCAGTCTTTGAGAAATCGCGTGCACAAAATTAGATGGGCGGAAAAATAATAATACATGTAATAAGAAGAAGAAACAGTAGAATCACTATAGGTCTTCCGTTGAAAATGGAAGACCTTATAATGCTTATCTTTACATTTTTAATTCATTGCCTTGTCTGCAAATGTGAACCTTGTTCTATCTTTCCTTCGAGTTAGTTTAATTAATGGAAGAGAAATTATAACAGTTACATTTCAATGTGAGCGTAAATTTGATTTTCGCTTATGACGTCAGCGCAACGTTCAACGTTTGTGACTTCATAATAAAAATCATCAATTAACCTCTCCATCCGTTTTATGGTGTATTGTATACCGAAGCCTTCCACACATATTATAAGCTAAGTATATTAGATTGTAAACATTTCGAATTATAAGCAACTGTTTTCCCCTTTTATTTGGTATATGAATAATAAAAATTCAAAAAATATATTCTTTTTATCCATTTTCTATTCCAGTATATCAGAAATTTCACTTCTGTAGCATGTCCAATGGCACCTTGCACCATTATGTAAATAGTGCACGTTTTTGAGGGTAACAGTTGAAACTGACACTCCAAGGAAAACCATTGTCAACCGACGCGTCAGCGTAGGTTTACAATGGTTTTCCGAGGGGTATCAATTTCAACTGTTACCCTCAAAAACGTGTAGTATTTATTTTATTATACTGAAGGTCTTATTGATTTCGGATGTCATAAAAAAAATTCGGAGATCGTCGTTAAGTTCACGCTTAGAAAGCTTTCAAACTTCCCGCTTCTATTTTTCTCAGTAAGAAAGATTTACCAACCTCTTTATTGTTTGTTTGCTACTCAGAAAGTCCTTTATCATCTAAAGTTTGCACTCGCAAGCATGTTTCGTCTGTCGTTTGTTGTTTTCTAGTAAGCTACTTCGGACGCAAGCTTTTATTGACATTGTTTATTCGGCTTCTTTCAAACGCACAACGTTTTGAGAATTCTACGGTGAAACGTACGCGCATAATTTGAACGCATGTGACATTTTCGTATTTTTTACCCATGGTCAAGTGTGTTGCTAACGCTGAGGGTAACATTCCAGATTGTTAAATGCGTCTAAACCAATCAGATTTTAGTATCTAACATGAAAGTATAATAATACGAATTGCATGCTAAATTCTGTGCGAGTGTTAAATCATATCGGTTTATTTCTTACAAAATACTACTTCCTTGAAAATATTTTAATCGTATGAAAATATGGTGGTCGGAGCATACGATGGTTCTGGATGGTCATACAGGGGCAAAGCGAAAGAACAATCCTATTTTATTTTTTCCTCCCACCATGTAGAGTCTAGGGAATGTAGAATAAAATCTTCCCTGTATTCATTTTTGAATCCAAACAAGATGTTTAACAGACGCAATAATTACTCTGTTTTGTAAAAACAATAAGTACTTGACTTCATGATGAAAAAAAAAATATGTTAAGGAAATAAAATTTTATAAAAATTACAGGTTTTATCAACAGAGATATTTTGAAAAAGTTTTAAAATGACAGTTATTGAAACCTTAATATAAACACTGTGAAAATGTACACCTGAAAAATTTTTTTTTATTTATTTTAGCAGATCAGCACTAAATGAAAATGAAGATGAAGGTAAATGTTTAAAAATGCTATTATAATATAAATTGCGAAATTTAATCTTAATTCAAAGCTTTCTGTGATTTCTGTAGATAATGCTATAGATATTTTCATACAGGACATACATTTTAAGTGGCCTAGCTAGGCTCTGATTTTAATATATGTATCTTCTTAACTAAAAAAAATGTATATTTGGTTAACTAAATCTTAATTTACAACTTATTGATATACTTTCATGATACCCGTATGATAGTATTTATATACATACAGCTTGAAAAATACGGATATATATTTAATTGCTGTGGTACAAATTTAGAAATTTATTTCAAAATTAAGGACTCTTTCATGCATAGCTTTGATCCTTCGATGTATTTGGTTCCAGTCTTTGGCACCTTTTTTCGGCTCTTCAAAGGTTTTTGGGGTTTTTTTTTTGAATATTTGGATTTCCAACTTTTGAGCGTAAGCATCACTGAAGAGACATAATTTGTTGAAATGCTCATCTGGTGCATTAAAATTGGTACCGTATATGATTTACATTCAATATTCAATATTTTTATTTAATCTATCTATATTATGATTAACCAGCTTATATATCTATAAACTAATCAATTGGGACAAATTTCAGGAAAGCATTTTTTTTTAAATATTTGTTGAAAACTATTAAGAAAAATTATGAGAAACTATTCAAAGTATATATGTGAGTACATTGAGAATAGTCATTGGAAATATTTAAGAATCATAGAATTTTGAAAGACAACACCTTACTCTAAAATGCTTCTTTTTGATAAAAATATACAATAAAACTTACCCATTCATCGGCATTGAAATTTAAATACTTAAATTTATGGTCTAGAAGGATAACGTGGATTACTTGTAAATTTAGGGATATGCGTTTTACTTTTGAGCCATTTTTAAATTTATATATTTATCTGCAAGTTTTCTCTAAATTACAAAATGTTTTAAATTGTGGAACCTTTATATCATATTTTCTTTTCATTTGATGCTACCACCTTGAGGCAAAGAAGGACCTTGAGTTGATGAAAAAAATCATTCATTTTTTAAGTTATCTAGCTGAGTAACTTATGTGACTTATTTATATCTATTTTTGTCCATCGTCGTTTGTCATATGTCAGTCATAAACATTTGAATATTTTCATCTTCTTCTCATAAACCGTTGAACTTATTTAGGTATAGAGCATCGATAGGCTAAGGGGTATAATAATTGTGAATTTCATGGCCCCTGTCTCCGTCCCATCCCCGGGGGTCCTGGAAAGGGGAAATCTATCAAAATTAATGCAATTTTCAAAAATCATCTTTTTTCTGGAACATCAAACACTCAAACTATTGGCATGATTATAATGAGCAATTAACCCTGGACTTCGTGACCTCAGGGTCAGAGAATCTGGAGTTAGTGTTGGGCTCTGTTGATCGTATATTAAAAATGCAAAAAAAAAAAATCTTTGAAAATCTCTTTATCATCCCTGTATATTTAGCAGACAAACTAAGTTCTTGGTTATGATGTGGAAGTGTACCTTTTCCAAAATTGTAAAGTTCATGCCCCTGGGTCAGGGCTGTAGTGTTAGGATGTGGCTTTATCGATTTAAAAGTGAAAATGCATTAGTTCTTATATAACTTTTTTCTCTGCTCCCAGGTGTTACGCAAACAAAGTAGGGTGAATTCACCATGCATCGGACACCCTCGCACTTCAACAAGTTCTAGCGATATCGCTACCAACCGAATATTATCAAAATGGAACTTAACATGTAGTATGTGGTTAAAATATAAATTTTTGACACAATCGTGTGCTATTTATAGAGAAAATATCATTAAAACCCGATTTAAACCAGAAAAATATCATACCTTGATCTCGGTGCTTTAAAATTAGTGATATCGAAACATTTTTATCTTTTATTAAAAAATTAAACTTCTAGTTAAATTTGAATGACTATTTTGATCCACAAATGTGAAGAGATTTTAGGTGCATCACATCGCCTTTGAAAGGCTTTACAATGCAAGTAATATGGCAACTCGCGCCTTTGTCTCGTGGGTTATCATCATCTAGTTTAAAGAAATAAATTGAGTCCACTTCTAGTCGTCATATATAGATATCTTGTATTTTCTCTTAAAATTTAGAGTTTTTATTTTCTATTTCCGTAAAAATAGCTGTCATTTGGGTTTTATATGAAAATGGAAGTGATCACCCATGCATCGGAAAGTGTCCGATGCATGGTTAATTTGTGTCCGATGTACGGTGAAATAAACATACTTCTTTAAAACAACTCTAACAAATATTATACAAACATTGAAGTAAAATTTTTGAAAATTTCTGAAAAATTATCAATTATTGATAAATTTTACCTAGGTCCGACCCATTCCGTTGACGTCTATTTAAAAGAACGACAACTCTAAAAATTGCAAAATCGTAAATTTCTGGTTACTCCCCTTTGATGATGCAAAATATGACGTAATTTCAAGGCCATTCTTGTGGTATTTTTATCACAACATGAAAATAAAAATCGGCATCATTAAAAAGTTTAAATCTTCACCTTTAAGACAGAAACAAGTAAAAACACGGGGAGACTCAGGTTCAATGAAAGTTTATTGCTTCAAATTGTCCGAAGCAAGGTATGTGTCCGATGCATGGTTAACTCACCCTAAGTGCATGATCATGACGAGAAAATGTGCCTCTTACCAAATTAAGAATTTCATGGCCCCATTTATGCTTTGAAAATCGTCTTCTCTGCCATTAGGTACTAGTAAGTTGATAAACTAAGTGCATAGTTGTGATGAGGAATGGTACCTCTTTCAAAATTATAAATTTCAGGGCTGCTTGGTCAGGAGCTCTGGTATTAGGGCGGGACTATGTTGTTTATTTAATGAAAATGAATTTAGTCTTTGAAAAGTATCTTCTCCGCTTCTGGGTATAAAGCAGAGAAACTAAGTGCATAGTTATGATGAATGTGCCTCTTCCGAAATTGTGAAATTCCTGACTCCTGAGTCAGGGGTCCTGGTCTTAGGGGATTCTATTGTTTATATAGTGATCTAGGAGGGAAATAGAGTAAAAAGTTGTAATAAGCAAGGGTAGATTTGTGAAATTCTGGACCACTGGGGAAAGTGTTATGATGTAGGATGAGGCTATATTGATCTTGGTGAAATTTGCACTCATCTGAGCTATTCCACTTTCCTATTTTCCTATTTACCTATGATAATTAAGACTAGTTCTCTGTAAAAATCAAAGAAATTCAAAGTAGGCTGACCAAGGCATGTCCTGGATGTTCTTCAAACTTGACATATGGCATCTTCTCAGATTAAAATTTAATATATGTAAAAAAAAAAATGAAGATAACCGACAGTAATCAAGCTCAAATATCCACTGGAATAATACGAATTTGGAGCAAGGCAAACACGGGCCTTTAGAAGTGGGATCAGGTGCCATGGAAGAGTAAGCATCCGCTGTCACGTCCGCTGTGTGTTCCTTGTTATGAACGAGCAAATGTTTGACATTTTTTGACATCCTCTGTTGCTATCGTAACTGGATTACAAAATTTTTGACCAAAATTGCTAATTTTGCATGGTGATCTTCCCCAAAAATTGCATTTTTACTCAATTTGTGTTTCAACCATAAGTTGGAACATAAACCCTTGTTACTAATATTTTATAAAACTACAATATCAACACCGATGTGAAAATGCGTTGCTTCTTTGTCATTTTAAATTCCGGATTGTTTGTGTAGCGATGAGAGCTCAGATGTATGCGTTGCCAGTCCAGCGCACTTAAGAGTCAAGAAGTTTTTGGTTCGATCCTTGCATGGAGCAATTTTTTTTTTTTCCTTTTTTATACAAACAATCAAGTGAATTTTATTTACTGATTTATAACTTTTAAAACAGATAAATTTGGTTCAGTTGCTCAAATTCGAAAGCAATTTTTCAAACCTACTGAAACTTCATTTCATATATCATACCATATTATCTTGTTAGGTGTTTATGTGAAGTATTGCTGTGTCACCGTAACTATTTAGATAAGTGGACTAAACTATTTCAATTTTGAAAGACTTTTTTAGTTCTTTCAATGTAAATCTAAACATTTTCCTATGTGAGTAACTTTAAAGTCTGTCTACTTCTGGTCAGCCGACCAAATCGTGGACATTTAAACCATAAACGTTTTGTACACATGAATCCTGCAGATCGCATGCCAAGTACGTCCCTCTTCTTTCTGTGAAATTAGTTCAAAACGCTATTCCTGCAACAGTTTTGGTCTGATTTCAACATACTTTGGCATAAAAGTAGACTTCACTAAGATACATAACATAATTTAGTGCATCGGTTTTTGTTTTCGATGAACGGTGTGGCCATGGTTACTAAAAATAGAAATTTCAGTGAAATACTTTTAAAACGCTACTCCTCCCACAGTTTTCGTTTGATTTCAATATAACTTGGGCACACAAGTTGACTACACTAAGATACATAAATAAGCACATTGGTTTTTGATATTGATGAACAGCGGTGCTATGGCTTCTAAATACAGAAATTTCTGTAAAATTCCTTTAAAATGGTACTTCTGCTACAGATTTGGTCTGATTTTAATATAACTTGGCACACAAGTACACTACACTAAGATACATAATTGTGTACACCGGTTTCTGATGAAGAATGTTGCCATGGTTACTAAAAATGAAAATTTCTCTGAAATTCCTTTAAACGCTACTCCTGCTACAGTTTTGGTCTAATTTCAATATATCTTGGCACACAAGTAGACTACACTAAGATACATAATTTAGCACGTTGGTTTTTAAAATCGTGTAATTAAAGAAGAGAAGAAGGTACCTTTTTAAGAAACTCTGGTCAGAAAGCAATTAGTAAAGACATGTATTTGATGGCCTTTTTAATAACATAAAATGTTATTCTAGTGATTCCAAGTAAGAAAACATTGCATTAACCCAGATATGTTGAGTAGTACAAATAAAAGGGGTAAATGAATCCATTTACAATAGACTAAAAGTGTAAATTAGATGGAAA